AGCCTGCTGGTGGAGCATGTCCTGGGCCTGTCCTCTGAAACATCCACCCTCTTAAAGCTTCCGGCTATCTCAAAGATCCCTGGAATGCAATCAGGGCCTTGCTTCTATTATCTTTTTCCCCCAAATTTTATTAGCACATACATGTTTGCCGTGTGTAAAGAGTACAGTACGGGGAGTTGGTACATACACATAATATATCTTAATTCTTTTTCTCTCCCTTCCCCTCCCACTCTCTTGATCTTTTTTTAGCCAGGGTTTCCCTGTGTAATTCAGGTTGACCTTGAATTTGCAATGATCCTCCTAGTTTAGCCTCCGGAGTTCTGGGATTACAAACCTTCATTATCACACACAGTTTGTCTTGATTTTTATACTCATCTACTTATCTAGTAGTCACTGGTCCCACCCCCCCTGAAAATGCTTCCCTCTAGACCCTCAAGACAAAGGCTTTGCTGTGTTGCTAGGCTGGTCTTGAATTTCTGGACTCAAGCAATCTTCCTGCTATAGCCTCCTAAATAATTGGGACTGTACACACAATTTTGCACAGCTGAAAATGCTCTATCATTTTCTACTACATAGTGAGGAAGGAGCTTTCCTAAATATTTTCAGTCTCTTTCTCATCTAGTTATATGAGATGTGATCAGTACATATGGTGAATATTTAAAAATCTATTACAGTAAAAACACATTGCCATTAATTCCCCTCAAAGTATTGTTCCTCTCTTTAAACACACCAGTCTCATCATTCTTGCCGCTTTCTGAAGCAGACCTAGAAGTCCTTTCTCTTACGTGTCTGTATTTGTGTTGCATGGCTGCCTCTATGTCCTGAATTGATTCAAAATGTTTTCCTTTCATGGTCATTTTGATTTTAGGGAAGAGTCAGAATTTGTACAGTGTTAGACCCAGTGGGTAAGGCGGATAAGGACAAACTGTAATGTTTCTATGCACCTGCCTTTCCATTGGATGGCAGCAGCATTCACTGTATATTTTAATCACAACTTGTAAAGACATTTACGAAAGAGTCTTCCAGAACTACTCCGGAGGGTGGTAATGATCATGGCATGAGTGTGTTCAAAGCAAGTAGAAGTATTTTGAGAAGGGTTAATAGCAATGTGTCTTTCACTGTAATACATTTTTAAAATTTAAACACTGACATTATTTTGATTATGCCTTATAAATTCTACCTTGAGTTATCTCTTTGTTCCCTTATTTCTACTGTAAACAGTTAAAAGTAGGCATGCCAAACCCTGAATGCTGTGCTGCTGAGACATTTCTTCTGCCAGGTAACAGTTTATTGCTCTTAAAGTGTGTGTTCCATGAAGTCGAAAGGCCTGAGCAAATAATAGCTAAGTTCTCTATAGCTTAGTAACAAGGATACTCTTTAGTCTGTTTCCAAGTTCTTGCTTTTTGCCACACGTGTAGTAAAAAAAAGAATGAGTAGTCTTCTGTTGATAGTGTTAGCTCAAATTGGTTGATAATGGTTTTTACATTTTATATATCCTTACTGGTTTCCTTTCTAATCCTTCTGTCAATTTTTGAGACTGGTATATTAAAATCAACAACTATTATTGTTGAATTTTCTTTAATTGTGTCATATTTTGGGGTCCATTTTTAAGTATTTATAGGTTTATAATTATTTATTTTTGCTGAGTTGCTCTTTTTCTCACTATAAAAAGTCTCTCATTTGTCTAGAAGCATTAAAAAACTATTTTGCCTTTGATTAGGATGGTATCTCTACCTCTGATTGGGTACCGTTTGTATTATATATCTTCATCATTTTACTTCTGATTGACTGGTGCCTTTGAATCTAAATTCTTTCTTGTGAGTGGCATATAACTGAATCATATTTTTAATCCATTCAATCTTCCCCTTCCATTTGGTTTAGAACAAGAATTTACTTACTTGAAATGCAATTACTGGTACTACAGGATTTATGGTTGTCATTTTGCCATTTACTATGTCTTATGTCTCTTTTTTCTGCTCTTCCTTTATTACTGCCCTTTCTTGTGTTGAATAGATACTTTCTAGTGTGTCACTTACAATCACCCTGCGACTCTTTTTACTGTATTTCAAAAAATTAGTTTTTAGTGGTTGCCCTGGAGATTACAACTGTCACTTTAAAGAGTCTAGTTTGGCTTAGTATTAACTTAATTTCCATAGTGCCGAGAAACTTTGCTCCATTCCTTCCTCTGATGTGATAGTGAGGTAAAGTAGGAAAAATATAGTAGAAAGGAGACATAGAAACTATTTTTGGGTTCCCTTATTACTATAAAACTCTGGGTTTCCGCTCAGTTCTGGATGCAGGAATGTTAATCATTTAGGAAATGTTGGCAGAAGTGTTTATTAGTTTTAAATTTACGTAGTCAATATCATTCCCTAGTTTTTGGAATTTACAAGGACAGTTCCAGGCACCCCGCACCCCCACCCACCCCAGGAGTCTCCAAACCTGTAATCATCTTGGACTCTAGTAAAAGCAGGGCCTGGAAAAACACCCAGGGATGAGGTCACTTCTTCTTGAGCAGGAGCAGTTAGCAAAGCAGTCCGCATCTTGAGCAAGGACAGACACCTCATGGAAACTAAATTGCCCCTCAAGACACGAGGATTCCTCTGCAGCTATGGAAACAGGAATGAGATAGTGAGACAGGACCTGGTTCAAGTCAACTGACCCTTAAAAGCTGGCCTCGTGCTTTTGTGAGGGGACCAGTCTGACCCCCTGCATTGGAGAGTCGCCTGCAGTTACTCTAGTTGGAGTTTTTTCCTATTTTTTTCTACCCTCTAAATCTGTCTAATAAGCCTACCTGTACACTGACGTGTCCTGAACAACTGTTTTGGTGATGAGAAGTACAGTTCTGCTCAGCCAGGGTTGATGTTGCCTGCCTGCAATCTCAGCACTGACCTGGGAGGATCACAAGTTCAAGTGAAACCTCAGCAATTTAGCAATTTAGCTAGACCCTGTCTGAAAATTAAAGCAAAGCAAAGCAAAACAAAACAAGCCTGGGCGTTTATCTCAGTGCAAAGGTCTAGGTTCAAGCCCCAGCATTACCAAAAATAAAAGGAAAGAGACTCTTTGCAGGTCGACTTTATGTCTCCATCCTCCTCATCCACTCTTTGAGGGGCCACTTAAGACCCTGTCTAGTGACAATATTACTATTATAGAAATGACATCTTTTTTCTTCTTCTGCTAATATGTTTCTTATAACTTTATTTATAATGGATAAAACTGTAAATAACTCAAAGGACCTTTAATTAGTATGTGAATCAAAATATGTGAAATAAAATTTGTATTGTATGTAATATGTGAAATAAAAATTGTATTATACACTGAAATATTCCAAAACTGTACAAAGAAATAAACTACTAAATACATTCAGTAACACACATGACCCTAAAGCCATCAGACTGGGCTCGGGCTGTGCACCTTAGTAGAGAATTTACCCAGCAAGCACAGGCTATGGGTTCTCTCCCCCACCCCAAATGGAATAAATGATCTAAAGACCTTCTACACTGATGAAAACAAATCAGACACAAAATCCTAGAAAGTACAAACTATAATGACAGAAAGCAGTGCTTGCTCAGAATCACAGATGAAGGAAGAGAATTGCCCGTGAGGAAGAAGAAGGAAGGATCATTTTTGAGATGATGAAAATGTTCTATATTGTGGTTATCACATGGGTTAACAGCTCTATACATCTTTATCAAGATTCAGTCCATAAAACTGAACTTCGAAATGTGTAGTGATAGCTACAACTGACAGAAAAAGTGTCATGCTAATTAGTTTTTGTTGACGACAATTGTGATTTGGAAAGGAGAACGATGTCTCTTTTAAAAGGCAGTGAAATCAAACTAAATTTTCTTAGCACTCTGTAGATATTATGGTGCTGTGCTTTTTTATTTTGAAAACATTCTAGTATTATATATTTTATTATGTATGTATGTATTTATTTATTTATTTTGGGGAGTGGGAATCAAACTCATGACTTTGCACATGCCGGGCAGGTGCTCATGCTGCTGAGCTATATCCCCAGCCCTGTATAATTCACTTTTATAAAAAAAAAAAGGTGAAATAAAATTCTGTGTGTAGATCCTTTTCATTATTTAAACATAGATTAACACCACAGTTTTCTTGAGTCTCGAGGTCAAATTACATCTTTACCTATTACAAGACCATCAACACAGTTCTTCTAAATCAGACAGGAGAATAGTGACAAAAATTACATTTCTGTTGCTTTTTGCATATTTATCTTGTAGTTGTCTTTATTTGTATCACGTTTCTTCATGTTGATTTGAATTACCATCCTGTGTATTGCCATTTTAGGCTGATGAAGGCTTTTTAGTGTAGAGCTATTGGTTGTGAATTCTTTTAGCTTTTGTTTGTCTTGAAACTTTTATTTCTCCCCAAGTCTGAAAAGTTGCTTTACTGAATAGACAATTTTTTCAATTATCTTCTGGGAATTTTCACAGCCCTGAACACGTGTGTTATCTTCAGCATCTACAAGACTATGCCAGAGATTTTTGGAGGCTTAATGGCTATTTCCTTTACATAGACCAGGCTGGGATTCTACTTTTTCTAAATTGGTGTTGTCGCTTTGTGCAATTGCTATGTTAGGTAATTGCTGTTGGTTATTTTAGACAAATGACCTACAGATTGGAATTTTTCTCACAGAATAATCTCTGAATCTTCAAAGGACAAGGTAGGCCCTGCAAAGAGGACTTTTTCAAGGAGTGGAGGTACATCTTACAGCACATATCTCAAAACTAAGAACTGTGCTCTGGAAATAGGGACTTTTTGGAGGAGAAGCTTTATACTGTAACCCCTGTCTTCTTTGAAATTTCCTTTTCCCACTTGAATATATTACTTTGATAATAATTAAAAGACAAGTGAAACTAAACCCTCACAAATAAGCTTTCATTTAACTTCTGCGTCACATATGCATTGTTACTTATTAAAAAATAGATGATGTTTAATGAAGGTCCAACAAAAAGGACAGTGCTGTTTTATTTCAGAGAATCCATGGATATCCTTTCCAGAAAAACAGGCCAGGAAAATCTAGAAATTGTAATTGACATATACCCTTAAAGCTCCTCAGTTACCATGGGTGAAGACAAGAAAATACATCTCAAGAGAGAACTTGGATATTTCTGGGGCACAAGTTTTATAATTATTAATATAATTGGTGCAGGGATTTTTGTGTCTCCCAAAGGAGTGCTGGAGCACTCTGCCATGAATGTGGGGATCTCTCTGTGTATCTGGGCAGCCTGTGCAGTATTATCCTTAACATTCAGTCTCTGCTCTGCAGAGATAGGTATAACCTTTCCATATAGCGGAGCTCAGTACTGTTTCATCAAGAGATGCTATGGCCCCTTAGTTGCTTTCCTGAGACTTTGGACGAACTTGTTTACTGGGGCGGGGATAGTCGCAAGTCAAGCCCTGCTCCTTGCTGAGTACAGCATCCAGCCTTTTTTCCCCAGTTGCTCTGTCCCAAAGCTACCCATGAAATGCATGGCCCTGGCCATGCTGTGGGTAGTGGGAATTCTGAATTGTCGTGGTGTGAAAGAGGCGACTTGGCTTCAGGCAGTGAGCACGATGATAAAAGTGAGCATCCTCAGCCTCATTTCCCTCAGTGGAATGTTCATGCTGGTGAGAGGAAAGGCAGAGAATGTAGGAAGGTTGCAGAATGCTTTTGATGCCGAAGTTCCAGCTGTTTACCAGATAGTTGAAGCCGTCTTCCAAGGATATTTTGCATTTTCAGGAGGGGGATGCCTTACAAATGTAGCAGGTAATTATGAGAAAATGAAAGAAAAATTAGCTTTCTTTTCAGGATCATCTATATGGGACTTCTGAATTAATCTAATTTCCTTTCTGTTAATGCGTGAATATTTGGGTTGTAGAAATATTTGCCTGTGTGAAACCATGAATCTAGGAAGGATCTAATGACAAACTGTTTATGTTGGGAATGGATGTGACAAACTGAAGTATTTTTATTTATTGATTTTTTCCCCAAAAATTTATTAGTAAATGGTTGCAATACATAATGATTATGTTCATCAAGGGGAGCTGACACATGTACATAGCACATTTTAATTCCTTTTGGAATTCTATTTTATTATAACTTTTTTCTTCCAGTGAATGTAATATTACAGGTTTAGGTAATAATACATCAAATGTTTCATATTAATGATAATTTAGTTTGCACATACTACAGGAGCAACTGTTCTATTGCAATGTTGGATGTACCTAGTGGTAAATCAGTTAAAATGCAAATAAATATTTAGGACCAGCCCTTGGAGGCATGATTTCAGGAGTTTGGGCACTTGAAGCAGAAACTTCTCCAGGGGCTTCATGATTCCTTGTTCACTGTGACAGAGCTAAGCTGCTGGCTGCCGAAGATGGAGTACTCCTATTTGGCTCACTCAGAACCCCAGAGCAGAGTAATAGTGCTACATTTTGCTTTGCATTTGTGTGAGGCTCCTTAGTGGTTTTAAAGAGAAGAGAATTACACATATCTTTGATTGCTCTGAAGCGAGATTTAATACCCTTCCCATCAATACCTGGACATAAGGTTTTCTCCTCATTTTCAAAGTCAGTCTCTTGGCTTGAACCCTGCATCCTTTTCCTCCTGCCTCCTCAGACTCTTTTCACATTCATTTATGTTATTTTATAAAAATCTGTCTTTTACCAGCTCTTTACATTGGCATTAAATATGAAGCAGATTCTTGATTCTTATATAAAATTATCTTTTATCATCTGATTCCTTAGTGATGTGTTTATTATGAATTAAATTATTTAATCAACAACTATCCTTAAAACTATACTAGTGTCAGGTGAGCAAGATGTACTTTTTATTTTAAAGAGGATTGCAGTCTAGTTGAAGAAGATGTTCGTCTGAGCCCTGCCATTTACCAATCCTGGCAAGTATTTCCTTCTCTTTGAACTTAACTGCTTTTCATTTTTGATCTCTAAAATGCACATCAGGATTTGACTTAAAATCCCTCTGATTCTGGGACTTGAAAAATAAACCATGGCATATTGTGTATAATATGAGTCATAAGGGAACAGTATAATCACTGTGGAAAGTCAGTAGAAGGAGAAGTCACTTTCACTGTCACTGAGAGAAAAGTGCTAATTTGAATTGAATCAAAGAAATTCTAGCAAAGAAAAATATCAAGAATGATATACATACCAGATGCACACAAGGGCATATAAGACACAGCACATGATATTAGGTGACCATAAAATTATTTCCATCTGAGGTTGATCGTCCTGATATATACAATTATCAGTTATTATTAGGCAAGTATATAGAGGAAGGACAAAATGGCACCTGGATAACTACACAATGTCAAGTTTTAGGCTTAGACAATTATATAAGGACATTCTCATAAATCCCCCTAAAAGGGGTCATTTGCCTGGCTAAATGCCTCAGGAGCTGAGAAGTCTGAGGGCTGGTCTGAAGACATTTCACTGGTTAAGAGGTCACTGGTGAACTTCACACATGAGGAAAATGTCAGCTTGCATTGAGTTAACAAGTGAGATGTTGAGAGAAGAAAAAAGTGCAGTGGCTGTGCAGTTGGTGAGTAAATGGGCCTCTGAAAATTCAGAAACAAGAGTGATCAAAACTCTAACACACAAACACATACACACACACTTTACATACACACACACAGATGCAAACACTTTCTTTTTTTTTAATGTTATCTTTGACTTCTGTTTGAGTCAATTCTATTTTGTTTTACTGCGAGAAACATTTCATTGGTAGATAATTATTCTCTGCTAAAAATAGATTTATGGCAAGTTTTTAATCTATACACAAATACAGAATTCCTCAAAACAGCTGACAGTAAACAAATGCCTGGGCCACTTCAGTGTGTACGGTTCTCAATTTACAAAATAAACTTTAAGGTACACTGAGTTTTAAATGATATTGTTATCTGTAAAATAGTAACATGTAGGCAACTGACTTTGAATGGTGTCAGAGTACTTATCTTTTAAATCAAATTTCAAGAATGTTGAAAACTACATGTGTAGTTTTACAAATTTATTACAAATTAAATGCTAATATCTACCTCTTTTCTCTAAGTCGAATGAGTACAGTTGATTTTTTGAAAAAATAGTTTATTCAAAAAGTTTCCTTCTGCTTTTTCCAAAGTTTTAATTAACAACTATAGTCATTAACAACAACCATTCTTAAAGCACTTATTTGGTGTTAGATAAAAGGATTGGAATGGTGTTGTCTGTATGGTTTCTACTTCTCCAATATACAAGCAAGAAGGTTGGAGCCGTGTTAGACAATATATTGCTCAAAGCCAACAGTGAAGCAAAGGTTAAAATCAGAGCACTCTTCAGATACCCCATCAAATCATATTAATTTACTCCATGGATGTTTTATTCAAACTCTGTGCAAATGAAAGAACTTCGATGTATGTGAAAGGGTACATATTTATTAGTCAAGGGATTGGGTTTACATAAAGGAAACACACACATTAGTTTAAACAATAAAAGGGGAACTTACTGGAAAAATAATGCTCTATTTCAAGAAAGATCTGAGCAGCCAAGCGTTAGCAGTAAGAGGAAATAGGCCAGCTCTAGAACTTGAAAAACAAAATCTCTTATCTTCCTTTCATTTTTTAAAAACCACCATTACGCTGATTTTTCATCTTGATTCTCTGAGTCTTACTGACATTTGGTTCAAGTTCCTGGGAGAATGTTCTTATATGTTGGTAATGATTGGTGTACAGTGGGTCAAAGGCCCATACTTGGTTCTTTTGCACTGCTCAGAGGAAAGGGTTACAGTTTGTACGTGTGACTACACATGTTGAACTCTGTCAGGGTATAATTTTTAAAAGATAGTGAAACTGGGAAGAAATGGTGTAGCAAGTTGAATGATTTTGGAATAATAAACTGTTCTAAAATATGCATTATATATGATGCCAAATCACCCCTTACCCTTCTGTCTTCCCTTCTCTTCCCCTCCTCTCTGTTGTCCAAGGAACGAAACTCAGAGCCTCTCCTACCAAAAGAAGGTCTTTACTACTGGGCTATGCATCCAGTTTTTTTTTTTTTTTTTTTTTAGGCTTTTATGTACTTGCTATTGGGATAAATAAATGGTAAGATGAATGGTATTGGGGGAATTTATGATTGACACTTCAACTCCTTTGGACCACTTGCCTTAAGAATGTTGACAATTTTGTTATTCAGCAAAAGATTTTCCTCTCCCACTGTTGCAGAAGAAATAATGATTGCGCAGAGATCTGAAGGTAAAGTAGATAACAACCTGTCAATTGAAAAACAAAAGACCAAAGACTGTTCTCCTTGGGGGAAAGGGAACTGTGGCAAGAAGATGCGTGGCGTTTCTGAGAAATGAGAAAAGCCAGTCTGCTTATACACAATAGAATGGTAAAAGGGCCAAAGGATAAAGTCCCACAACATTTAGTTTCTTTTCATTCAGCCACTTTCCACAGTATTTAGTTTTGCTATGTTTCTAATTTAACTAACATGCAGTTTAACTAAGGTTAAATGTCACGTAGAGTTTGTTCATTATTGTATTCCTACTGCCCAAACTCAGTGCTGCAAACTTCGTGCAGAATTCCTACCATAGAGCCGGGTGTGGTGGTACATGCCTGTAATCCCAGCACTCAGGAGGCTGAGGCAAGAGGATCACCCTGAGTTCGAGACCAATCTGGCCACATAGTGAGTTGAGGCTAGCCTGTGGTATATAGTGGAACCCTGTCTCAAAACCCCAAAAAGGATTCCTACTAGAAGCACCTTAAAGTATATATTCAAATTTCATTTTGTATTCTTATATCTCCAGCAATGTTGCCATCTATTAGGAAAATTTAGAATGTTTTCCCTCTTCTTCATGTAGCACCCAATTCAGAGGGAGTTGGGTGGGCAAGCAGTTTGTCCATTCCTCCATGTGTATGTGTTTGTGTGTGTGTACATGTGAGTGTGCATGTGTGTATGTACATGTGAGTATATGCATGTGCATGTGTGTGTACATGCGTGTGTGTGTGGTAGAGTGGATTTGAAGAATAATTCAGTCTAATATTTGACACATGGAACAATTTTTTTTTTTTCAGTGCTACGGATGTGCTGGGGAAGGAGCCAGGGCCTTAGGTTGTGCTAAGCAAAGCACTTTACCACTGAGCCAGATCCCACATAAAACAGTTTTAAAGATAAATTTAAGAAATAAATTTTACACTTATAGTGTTTCTCTTTTATGTGTTATAGGAGAGCTGAAGAAACCCAGAGTGACAATTCCCAAATGCCTGTTTACAGCATTTCCTGTGGTGACTGTGCTCTATTTACTGGTTAACATTTCCTACATGACTGTTTTGACGCCCAGGGAAATTCTTTCTTCAGGTTTGTACACACACAGCCCAGCCAATAAAAAAGGCTGGTCATTTGTGCACATCTTGAGTGTATCATCTTACCAGTGGAGACTGTTGCTTGCTGTTCGTTATTCTATATATAAAGTTGACTTGCAATTTTCTAGAATTAGAATGCCAGAGAGGATGATTTGGTCTAGAAAGAAGATCCATGTTTAAACATGGATGTGTTTTCAGACATGGAACATGTTTGTGTAATGCTGATGTATTATACAGTCCAGATTCAAAATACTAGTTATTCCTTTCATGATCTCTTCTTGTTAGACAGATACTATGTAATCAGTACTTATATCTATTATAATTTTTAAAGCATTTGATTCTCTATATTCTTTGAGGTGATATGATGAATGATAAGTTTGAAATGCAGAGTATTATTAGTCAAAAAATAAATATTAATGGTCAATTAATGCATTTAATTCATATTAATATATAAAATAATATTTGGTGATCTTAATTTATTGTGGCAAAAAACTGAATATATTGAAAGGTAGACTGTCAGTTACTATCTGAAAGCTGAAATTGTAGAATAAGGAGTGAGAAAATTTGAAAATAAAAACAGACTCAAGAAATAGAAAGAAATTTGGAAAGAAATGAAAAACAGGGAATGGGGAAGAGCAATAATTTTCTACATCAGCATTAAACCTGAAGTCACCACTTTCTGAGATAAATCACATCATCCAGTGCCTTTAGGACAATCATGTTAGTCACTATTATTATTTTAGTTATGGCACTGGGGGTGTGTATCTGAGGCAGTGCAGTTAAGCCTGAGAGGCTTTTAAAATACATGATTTTATTGCCATTAGTAATTGTGTGTCTTTATCTACAGTTATATAAATGTCTAGTGTGTATACAGGATGAAAATTCAATATATTGTGTATAAGATTTGATGATCAAATTAGGGTCATTAGTAATTTCTTCTCCTTAAACATTATCATTTATAATGGGATCCTTCAAACCAAAGGCTGGTTTTGCTATAAGCATTCTCAGAAACTGTCTCAGTTCACCTGTGAGTGCCACGCAGAATGGTGCCACATGGAGTGAACAGCAGTGCTGACTCCTAATGGCCTAGGTGTCCTGGGGACCAGGGAACTAGATACACTCAGGATTCTGAGGATTAGTCTTACAAAACGATCCAAAACTGGAAGAGCAAGTGCTGGTTGCCAACTGTTTGATTGCATAAAGAGTAAATTTATAAAGTTAATTGTGGGTGTAGCCAGATGGTCATTGGGGTCAGCCGTTACTGTTCACATAACCTGGAATTCAATATGACTTCTAGTGTTCTAGCCATACAACTGATTTTAAGATAGTAAGTGTCTCCTCTCTCAATTTTTAATGGTTTCACCAATTTTTGTGAGTGGCAGAATACAGCTTCACAGTGTGTGGAGAATTCTTACAGTACTTTGACAATAATCACTTTTAATTTGGTTTACAGTACATACTCTTTCAAGTATATAATCTTTGGGTTTTCACTGAAATTCTGAAGTAGAGTCTCTGAATTTAAATATCTGTGCTTTCTTCATATTAGGAATTTAACTTAAGAAAATAATCAAAATTGTAGGGAAAACATGTTTAGAAAATGTGTACATAGGATGGCTATCGTATTATTAAGTGTGATAGCAAAAACTGAAAGGTCACCAAAATATACAATTAGTTTGAAATAAATGAATATTATGATTCATGTGATAAAATAGTCTGAGCTGTATAAAAGATTATGCTGATGTTAACCAGTCAATGGGGACGCACAAGGTTTATAATGTGATAATAATGGAAAAGACAAGATCTATACTATTTTATAAAACAGAAAATAAAAGATGAAACAGGATATCATCATGTTAAATGAAATAAATCAGACTCAGAAAGACAATCACTGCCTGTTCTTCCTAGTGTGTGGAATCTAAAAAATGGAGATGAAAATAGCAGGAAGATTACTTATTATACAAAAGGAAGGGAATGGGAAGCAGTAAGGGAGAAAACCAAAGAGGATGATTATGATCAAAATATATGCAAAAAACCACATTGAGACCCAGTATTTTGTAATTTTAATAGGCACTAATAAAACATATTTAAAAAATAAAAAAGTAAATATCAACAATGATGATAGGCTAAGAAACTGTAGGTAATTTTTGCTTTATTATGTCCAGTGAACTTTCCGAATTTTCTTAATGAGACACACACTCAGTGGAAAAAGATGTAAACAAGAGAAGAGGTTCTTAAAATCAGAAATTTTAATTTTCTTTTAATTAAATTATATATGTAAATCAATTTGAGGACATATACCTATAATCCCTGCTATTCAGGAGGCTGAGGCCTCACACGTTTGAGGCCAGCCTTGGGAAATTTAACAAGAGCCTGTCTGGAAAAAAAAAAAAAAAAAGGGTGAGAAGGTAGCTCAGCCCTTAAAGTTCTTGCCTAGCAGGCATTCAGCTCTGGGTTCAATTCCCAAAACTGGAAAACAAAACAAAACAAAATAAAACAGGTACATCTAAATGTGAAAAATTCCAAAGAAACATAGGGCACGTATGTCTCAGTATGAACTGGTTGCTACATTTTGTTTGAGAAACATTGAAAAAATTATGCTTATTTGTACTAAAGACTACATTCTGTGGTTTATATGATGGAAGAAGCAATGGTGTTATCATCTAATGTTTTTTTTCAGTATAAGAGATCTAGTTTATTTTGTTACATAGTGCTTTCTTACAAGAAAGAAAATAACCTTCACTGTAAATGAACTCTACAACTGGGGAAAGAAAGATGTCCCTCTAGAATGAGGGGTCTGGAGATCTCCAAGGGAGGAGTCCTGGTTCCAATTTGTTCAGCCTGAGAATTTTAGATCAAGATGCCCTTCACTGGTGACCTGAGTACTCATATTTGGTGTCCTTAAGGTTTCTATGTCTACTTAAAACTAGAGAATATTGGTTTAGGACGAGACAATCTAAAACACTAACTAAATGGCATAGGGGCAGAAGCTAAGAAGGATTCCTTGTTCAGAAGCTGCCTGCAGGAAGCAGTCACAAATATTCAGGTGTGGTTAAGAAATTTAAAGAGAAAGGAAATTTTAGAGTTACTACTGATGAATAGATGCAATCATTTTTGGAGGGTAATTTGATAATATCACCCTCACTTGATAATATGTGTATGTTTGGATTCACAAGTCTTACTTCTGAGACTTTACTGAGAATTATATAACTATCAAAGATGAAGCCATGAGCATTTTTGATTAAAGCACATTTTATATGATCAAAAACCTTAACCAACCTGTAAATCCACAGATTAAAATGTGCAGATAAATTAACTTACAGTTAGGTAATGGCATACTGAGAATTCACTAAGATAGTTAGATGGATGTATTTGCATAATAGGATCAAGATACAATGGAAAGGAAAAAAAATCTAAGCATGGAAACACACCAGCATGCCTGTACATACACAGAAACCAACCACCCATGTGTACAATTTGCGCAAATGCTCCTGAACTACAATCACAGAACATTTCTGCAAAACTATTTGGGTAGCTCTTAATAGAACTTACTTTTTGAGTCATGTGAATGAAGATTGGTGAAGAGAGAGAGGATATTAATGAGTTTCAGTGCGATTTATTGTACTTTCTACCAAAAGTATATATGACAATATTTTTTCAAGAAAAAAATGACACGTGAAAAAGAGTAAAAAAATCATCTATGGAACATCAGCAACAGTTATGTAGAAATGTTGTGTGTCAGTTTTGTCAGTTATTTTACAGAGCTACCTGGACCCTTCCCTAGTTACAACCAGTCACATGTGTTGATCACCCACAGGAAAATCTAAAGACTATTTTCTTTGCATTACAGGAGAGAAATTTTCTAAAATATGTCTGCAACTGGGTGGTATGTGGTAGTATGAACACATAGGAAGGATAACCAACAATACCTTATTTGAGATGAATAAGAAGTGAGGCAGGATATAATATATGTTTAAACAAACTCAATATTGTAAGATAGTATTAAAATGTGCTATATGATGCTTAAGTATGTTTAAAATAGGTTAAAAAATGAAGGTTTTAAGAAGAAGAAGAAGCATTGATGATTTGTCACAACTGAAAAATATACTGATGTCCTGGAAGCTCACCTGGAATCCAGGATACCTACACACAAAAGTAGCCCCAGAGAGCACCCACCCCAGGGACATTAGGTGTTGCTGGTCTGTCCTAGTTTATATCTGCGGAATATGAGTTGAATTCTCATGTGCAATGAGTGCTTCTCTTCAATGGCAATTTTTATATCTGCTGGTGTACCACTGTTATAACACTGTTATCAGTTCTCTTCACTTTTAAGTAAACCTCTCCCAGAATATTCCCTAACAATTAGTCTGTATAGGAGAATTTCTCAGGGTCAGTGCTGTTGATATTTTTGTATAATTCCCCTATCCATTCTGGCCCCTATAGCTGGGGATTGAACCCAGGGCCTTATGTCTGCTAGCCAAATGCTCTGTCACTGAGCTACGTGCTCAAGCCCTGGGTCACACACTTTCTTATTGTAGGTGGTTGTTCTGTGCATTGTGTGGTGGTTAGTAACATCCTTCATCTCTACCCATTAGAAGCCAATAGTAACTTCCTCCGTCCCTAGCTGTGATAACCAAAAGAATCTTATGTCACCCCTGAAGAGACAAATTTCATCACTGGTTGAGGACCACTGGTGTACAGTTTAGACCAGTCAAAAATGTTGTTTTTAAATCTGTGTGTAATTCTTTTTCTTTCTGCCTACGTGGCTCACTTTTCCAAATATTTTAATTTGTGCCATTTCATGGATAACCCTCAACCCAGTATCAGCAGTGTTGCTCTGTGCTTTTCTTGACACTCTCCTTTTAGAAAACAAATTTGTGTGACTGGGGGTTTAGCTCAGCGGCATAAGTGCCTGTTTTGCAAATGTGAGGTTGTGTTTGATCCCTGGCACCAAAAAAATAAAATAAAATAAAGAAAGGAAAAAGAGTATACATTTAACAAAGGTAATTTTTTTTTTTTTGGTATGGGGGAATTGAACTCATGACTTCATGCTTGCCAGGCAGGCGCTTAAGCCATAAGCTAAATCCCCAGCCCCTATAGAGTTTATTTGCCTCACAAGTATGCACTATAACCTCACTATATGGCTGTCAGTGAGTGAAATACTAGTTCAAAAGAAAAGAAATGATGGATTTTGCCTTTAAAGAGTTCCTGATCTTTTGTTGAAGGCATAAAAATGATAATCATCTGTGGTACATTGTGATAGGGCTAAACAGGATGCATGCATAAGATACTATGTAGGTGTAAAACAAGGAAATAAGAAAAGTGAGCAAAATTAAATTTCCTTAATGACTTTTAAAATTTTGGGCTTAATGCTGTGAAATAGTATTATTAAAAAATTTGTCAGATTTTTTATTTATTATTATTAGCTATTGTTAGTAGTAGTTTCTCCTTCTTAACATATTTCCTTCATGTATTTTTGTTTCTCTGCAGATGCTGTGGCTATCACATGGACTGATAGAGTTATCCCCCAATTAACATGGTTTATTCCTTTTGCTATTTCTGCCTCATTGTTTAGCAATCTTCTGACTAATGTGCTTCAAACATCACGAATGCTATATATTGCTGGTCAGCAAGACCAGTTGCCTTTATTATTCAAAACACTGAATATTCACTCCTCTCCACTGATATGTGTGTTATTAAATATCATAATGGGATCCATTGCAATTGTCGTGACAAACCTAATTGAACTGATAAACTATCTTTACTTTGTGATTTCCATTTGGACTGTACTGTCAATGATAGGATTACTAAAACTGAGATACCAGGAACCCAACCTACACAGACATTTTAAGGTAAAAATGAGTTTTCTAAATGTTTTTTCTGTGTGAAACAAAAGATATTTTGTGTACTTGTATTTTGAAAGTATATTCAGCATATGAGTAGATGTTGTCATCACTCAACAAGTTGTGGAATATAAGAATAAATTGTTTTAATTTTCATTTTTATTGGGTAGGCTTTGTGCAATATAAAAACCTCTTGAGGTACAGTTAATGATTTATAAAGGCAGAAAGATAGGTCTCTGAATAGTGGGGCAGATCATTATGAATCTTTTGGCCAGAGATTATTTGGTTTACTTATGAGCAACTTATGTACCCCAGATCTTCTACAGTCAGGATCAGATACAGCAAATGAGAAACAAAAGGCAAGTGAGATGAAAACTTATATTTACTGTTTTGAAGCATCAGCTTGTTTTAGTCATTGACAAATTCCATATCTCCAACATTACTGCCTTTAAAATTACTTTCAGTCTATATGAGGAAAAAATTCACAGGAGAGGAGACAGTCCTTTAATCATAGAAAAAGAAATGAGCAAAGATTTGGTAGCATAAGGATACTATTTGGAAAAGATAATAGTCATAGTCTATCAGAATAATAACGTAGTTGTCATTGGGTAGGAATCATGTTTAAAACTGGTCTTGGATGACCACTACTAAGTTTCTCAGTAATACAAAATGTGATACTTTTGTTAGGTGTATTTTACAAATGAGGACCCACGCTTAGAGAAACTAAGTCACTTTCCTATGTTTACACAGCACAGAAATCTAGGTAGTCTCTTTGGAATATTTGGCTCTTGCTAAGTACAAAACATAAGAAAGAATGCAGGAAGGAAGAAAGAAATGTCACCACCACCAGCTTTGGCTGATTTTCACCCAAATTCCTTCTCAGTTTTCTCCTCTTTCATCCTGTCATCACTTACCTGTTATGTATTTGAGTCCTAGTTATTGAGAAGTGAATATATTTCAAACAGGTGTGGTTATTAATCTTGCAGGCAGGTCCTAATATTTTTTAAAGACAGGTTATAACTCTCTGGACAATCAGGTAAACGAAAAATCACAGCATGCTAGTTGCTGCATTATAGCACGCAAAGGATGCTCAGAGAACTACAGGATAAGGGAGGATGCAATTCAGAGCGGGTGGACATGTGCCTCCCCATAGCTCCTCTCATAGTTTCCCATACTGCATCATTTGAATATATCACTTATTCACTTTTGTTAGATCATTAATTAGATAAAATTAAAGAGAAGTCATGAACAATGAATTTCTAATGCACCAGTAAATAGTATAAGATAATCATTAAGAGGCTAGGCTCAAATATAACTCCTCAGTTTATTTTCTGAAATCCTTCTTGTTATTTAGTCTCTGATGCTCACTTCTTTCATAGCTCTTAGAGTACTGTGTGTATTAAGTAATCTTAGATTATTTAACAACTCAGGGTCTGATATTAATGACATTATTTATGTCATTATTCAATTTACATTTGCATCCAAAGAGAAGGCAAGCACAACCTACAGAAGAAGTGGTATACTTTTTCTTGTCTGTCTTTTCTCTCAATTATTTGGTAACTAATATTGAGCCATGAGATGATAGTTATATTAGGATTGTCTAAGAAGAGGAAGTTCCTAATGAAGCACCACTAATTATAGGGTTTCATAAAAGGTGACTAGCTGTGTGATATCTTTAGGGTGTAGGTTTGTACCTCTTAAAGACATCTTAAAAGTGACAACCTACTGAATTTTCTTCTAGGTTGGATAATGTATGATATGCAAGGTTAGATCTTTAAGATTTTTGACAAGATAAAAATAAAATAAATAAGGAGAATTATTTTGGCCAAAGTTTTTGTCTAAATTTGTTTCATTTTCTACTTTACTGATCCTTGAGGTCATAATATTTACCTGAACATTTACTTTTTTTCCCCCACTGATTTGAATTTCTTATTGGCTTGAAATATTGTCAAGAAAGATATTTGTGATATCTATTGGGCCACTGAAATGCACTTGAACAATCTCATGCCATCCAGATTAGCAGATGCTCATAAGCAAATGATCATGATTATTTCCATGATGAGCAGTCACGTGCTAGGTGTTCGTACACTCCACCCTGTGCGCTGGCAGTGAGCCTTCCACATTGACTTTTACTCAAGAATTTGAGTTTTAAGTCAGGTTTATCTAACTTAGCTAACTTAGACTTTTTGTTGTTAAGCATTAGCCTATATCTTTTGTGTTTATATAAGTACAGAGGAATGAAATGTGGATTTTCACATATAATAATTTTTAAAATTTTGATTTTTTAGGTCTTGACGCCATTCATACTCATAACCATGGCCATCAACCTGAGCATGGTTTTGATACCTCTGGTAAAGTCTCCAAAGATGCATTATATCTATGTACTTCTATTTCTTTTCAGTGGACTACTGTTTTACATACCTTTAACATACTTTAAACTGAAGTTGGTTTGGTTTGAAAAACTGACTTGCTATCTACAACTATTCTTTAATGTTTGTATCCCTGATAAATCCAATGAACAGATATAAAAAGAAGAAGAAACTTTTTAAAAACAACCTAAATACATGCCAAGTTCCAAATGAAGATTAAGTACATGGTAGAATATTAATTGTGAAATTCCCTTAGTAACTTTCTCAAATGAAATAGTGTATATAAAAGTGCCCAGATCAGTAGCTATCTTTAAAATCACAAATAAATTGTTCTGTGTAACTAAAGCTTTATTCTTATTAGTAAAAACCGTGAGTCTGTTTGACTAGCTTGATATTTTGATGTTGTCTCTCTCAGCCTTCCCTTTTTTCTGCATTTCATCTGTATTTTTTTAAATTGAATTTGTGGTGCTCTTACAATAAAAGTTAACCACTAAAAAGAAAATGCACTCTCTTTATCTTTTTTGGTCTATTTTTGGAGCTGATGTGAAATAAAAGGAATTATTCCATTGATTCTCTTTGCTATGTCCCTCTAATAGTAATTTTTCTTACCTGCTAGGTATTTCAGAAACATAATTTTTTAAGATTATTTTCCTTTAGGTACCTTTCTTTAAATAGAAGGTGACTTTGGAGCACATATATATTTTTGTTAGACTGAAATGTGACCTATTTACAATTTGTATGCAATTGTGTGTATAAGGTGTGTGTGATAAGTAGCTGAATGGATAACATTCCAATAGTCACACTCATTCCAAATCATTCGATTTGTAAAAATTCCCTACTTCGTGTAGAGTTGTGAAGGATTAGGAAGTTAGGAGATGGGTGGGTGGAACAGAACCTACTTCCACAGAAGGAGGATTCTCAGCAGATGACAGCGAGACTGAAGACAACATGGGCTCCTCTTGAGGTCTCCAGCCTCCCAGCCCACACTGCATCTCCCCGGGTTTCCATTTCCATGATCCTGTGAGTGAATTCCTTGAAAAACAAGTCACTGCCCCCTATCCCATACGCACATCTACTGTTTCTATTTCTCTAAAGGATGCTGATAAATACACCTGATCTCTCAGTCAATTTCAGTGTCCTATACATGCTTACCAAGCAACACTTCTTTTTATTTTAAAAAGGGTGAGATTAAACATAACAAAACAGATCCTAAGGAAACAATTTTAAGAAATACGGATTTCAAAGCAAGTCTACTGGAGATCTTCACTGTCTGTCTTATTGTCTCTAATTTTCTTCCAAATAGTTGTCCCCATCTTCACACACATTGAATACATACTGAACATTCTAGAACTAATCAAATCATTACAGGATGATGAAGGCTTTTTAGGTCTTCAAGCCCTGACATTGGGGAAGTCAATAATGACTACCATAATGTCTCTCATTCTCTTCATAGTAGATGTCCTTATCTTTACATATGCTGAAATTGAACATAATAGACTAGACTAATATCACTCTGAACAGTGAATAATAGTATTGTTAGATTTTATATCATAATGCTACAGAATTAGCACTGGGTTTCTTAGTGTCTTTTCTTCTTCAGAGTATCTGTTCATCACATCATGCATTATATAATCTGTTCCCATAAACTGTTAAATTCTCCCCATATGTGAATCTCTACATGTATATCTATCCTTTCTGTATTATAGGGAAAAACAGATTATAACAAGACATAAAAACAAATTCCTAGAAAAACATGAAATGGAAAAGACATGTAAAACCACAATATTAGGTGATCTACAGTAGTTACTATGCTTTATCTTGTTATTTTCAATAGAATTGTCCACATCATCAGGCCTAATATAATTGAACATAACATTACATAGCTATTTTAATAAAAACCCAGCTTGGAGACATTGTAGGACTTTGAAAGCAGTTAATAATCAAACCGGAATGAGTATCTTATTACATCATGTCATCTTCAGAGTAGTTGCCTCTACTGTTAGACTTGATACTATCAAGCATACCAATTTGAATAAAATCAGTTAAGGCAAAACAGCGGTCTAACAAACCAGCTTCAAATAAGATCAGTTGTAGTAAGACAATGTAAGTAATACAGGGCTTCAGTTTAAGTTAATAGGAAATTAAGGATAGTTACCGTGGTATAGCCTGCTATTTTTGGGATAGCTGTCTGTGCCCTCAAATCTAGTATGAGTAGACAGACTGGAACAAAATAAAATCAAACTAAACAAAGTGATAAGACTACTGTGGCTTTTAAATTCTGATACACTATTAACAATGTCCTTTGCCTTCCTTTTTTAGGCAGTTCCTCAATTTTCCCCTTCTCAGGATGCTTTGTATATTTTGGGTCCCACTAGCTCCTTTAGTTTTTAGATTAGGGGGCCAACCTGTTATCTATCTGAGTGTTGCTGAACCTTTTTACCCCTGAGCTTGATCTTGAGCTGTACTGCTTCACTTGCTAAAGTTACAAGGTTGTCCTGCCTTCCAGCTGTGTAGTTCTACACTGCACAAAAGTGTCATAACTTTCTAACCTATTTGCAGCTGCTAGACGAGTTGTCCCTATTTCTCTCTGGTTCCCTGTCACATAAAGGCTCATTTTGTCATCTTTGACATTCAATTTATTAACCCTCTTTCAGGTTGAGTATGTTTCCTATTCAGAGCATCCTGATGGGTCCTGCCTCCTAATCTACTCTGCTTGTGTTTATTAAGTTAAGTTATAGATCCTCTTGTCGACTTCTAGCCTTTGAATTGTTTCCTCCTGGTTCCTTGTTATTTTTAAGAGATCTTTTCTTTCATGATCACACATTATAAATCTCTCTGCAGGTTTCAAAAGGCTAACTTTAGTTTCTGTCAAGGCATTTTTCCAGCTTTCAATGGAGTTGTTAGTTTCCTGGCAATCTCTTTGGATCTGTTTCATGTATTCTAGATTTTGTTTATATTCTTCACCAAAGGTTTCTCTTCCTTTTCTGGGTTCCTCCATCCTTCCATCTGTGTTTTCTTGGGAGGGGCTTAGCATTGCTTTAATTAATCTTTTTATATCTTGCCTCACTTGGATTAGAATTTCAGTTTTAAGTTTGTCTATGAGGTCACAGAGGTATTTCTTTATGTCCGCTGATGTTGTGGCTAATATTGCAGGATTGCTGCCCTGGATCTCTTCTGTATTTATCTCTCCTGGGCTTATTTTCCCAGGGTCAGCAGCTGGAGGTTTTGTCTTATTTCTATCTCTTGTCATGTTTCTGATTTCTTTTAGACAGGTATATAGTAGAGGTCTCTGGCTCTTTCCTTATTGCTTACAGTGTTTCCAAAGCATGCTAGCTGGGGTTTTGCTGCCCTCTCCAATTTTTTGTTATCTGAGGTGCACAAAGGGATGATGTGGACTGGCCCCTCGCCTCTGAGCCAGTCAACTGGCAAGTGCCTACAGCAACTTAGGCTGTGCTGTGGCAGACGTCACAGGGTTAGGACAGTTTTGTCCCCGGCTATTGTGTCCCAAGCAGGGGTGTGCCTCAGCCCAAGCAGGTCCCACCAGTCCTCTCTGGGCCAGGGGCAGCTAACTGATGCCACTGCGGCACCAGGCTCTGCTCCACTCCAAGATGTCTTCCAGCCAGCGACACTTGTGGTGGGACCCAATTTCCAGCACTCACTGGGAATCAATGTAGTTCTCCAAAAACCACTCCACACTGGGCCGCGTCCTCGCCAGCCAAGGGCCCAGCACTCACCAGTTCCCATTGTGGGCTGCTGTGGTTTCAGTGCGATCTTGAGTCACCTGACACCTCCAGCACAGCATGGACCAGTCTCACTGAGTGTGTTGGACTCCAGCCCTCCACTCGTGTTTTTCCTTCCTCTTCCTATTTTTCTTTTTCCTTCAGTTTCCTCCTGGATTCGTGAGAGTCCCTCTCCACTCATCCGGCCCTCTCCATGTTGTCAAATTCCAGTGTCTGAGTTGTTTTTCCCAGAGAGGCTCTCCACCCAGCCACGTAGCAAGCTGCCCTCTTCTCTAATCTCTCCAAGCAACACTTCTTATTTCCCCTTTCATTTAGCATATTGTTAAGCATCATTTAAATTTAACTGATGATAGGAAGATATGATATGAGGATATCAAGATATGAGCATACACACATCCTTTTATATCATATTACTGACTCATTTTATAAGATCGTATGCTCATGTGGGCCTTATGGTTCAATGCCAATAAAAGAGAACCCTTCACATGGAAACTTACTACATTTTCACAACAGCCTAACTCCCTCCATCCTCTAAATTGTCAGCAGCATATGGCAAAAAAGATTTCTGAGCCTCACATTGTATAGGCTGAGGGTCAGAACTTCAGATTTTTCAGACTTGGAGGTATTTAGATCACAAATGAGAACTACAAATTTAAGTAATGTTAGAATTTAAAGAAAGGTTGAATAGCTTGAATGGCTATACCATCCCCACTAAATAACTAACCCACCTACCTATGCTTCCATACTTCTGGAAGTTGGGAAATCACTAGTTGTTGAAGATGCTGGTCTTATCTTATCTTTGAACAACTCCATTTTTCCGAATATGAGGCAACGATGTAATGTTGACTTACTGGGTAGGTATGTGCATCTTTATCAGCTTCATCAGCTATGAGCCACTTCCTCAGATACTTTGTACCACCATCTCTTGGCTCTGAGTCGCATTTAGATTAAAACTTCCTACTGCAAGAGTTGCTGCTTTTGAGAAACTTGATCCCTAAGTTTCTCTCTAATGTGAGGGATTGAACCTGGGCCAGCAAACACACTAAAAAAATGATCTATTACTGAATTATACCTTAGCTCCTTGATCTATAGTTCTTATTTTGTAAGCAACATAGTCTTTCTAGATATGCACTATCTATGGCAGGATAGAGTAGGGGCATTATGTCCCTTATTTAAAATATTAGTTCTCAGAGAATTCATAAACAAAAATCAAACTGCATGGGAAATACTTCCCAGAATCAATAAATGAGGTTTCCTTTTATTAAAAAGCTTTACGTATCAAAAGAAATCTCCAACAGAGTAAAAAGAAAACCCACAAATTGGGAAAAATATCTTTTTTTTATTTAAGGAGAAAAGAAAAAAAAGTGAAAGGGTACAAGTTATACAGATTTACAGAAGAAAAAAATGAACAGTAGGAAATCACTAGTTAATGGATTACATATTGCCATCTTAGAAATAATTGTTCAAGTCACAAAATTAAAGCTTGTAGAGTGGACATTCCAACAATGATACTGCAAACAGTTCTGTTCAATGATCCAATAAAACTCTGTGATATCATTTTCTATCTTATACACTTAAATATACATGCAGTTATATAGTTTAGAGCACTTTATTTTCCTCTCTTTTGTACAATGACTATTACACATTTTGGGTTTCATTGCTCCCACGGTTCTTATTGCTTTTTTGGAAGAGAGTAAAACCAAATGAGACATAACAGAACAGAATCGGTCAAGTCAAAAGGGTGGACATAATAGATAATATA